AATAAAATTCCACTGTGACTCTGCTGCTTGAAGTGTTGTCATTTAAGAGGTATGTAAAGCCAAGGACTCGGTCATTTGTGACTTAAAAATCCCAAGTCATTTTTTTTGCATTAGCAGTAGGTTTTTCCTAGGTTTCTGGCCTAAATCCAGTTCAAGCGATTGTATATGGCTACTCACCTAACATTCTCTTTCTGTTCAGATGATTATGCTATTATTCTTTTTCTCTTCTGAAGTGCTGAAATACTTCTGCAGACTATTAAAAAGTTCCTTGCCTTCTCCCCAAGGTAGATGCATTTCAATGCTGAGTTATGTGATTCCTTGAATATAACACTTTGTAATTGGTTTGTGAAGTTTAACATGAACTCTGGGATCTTTAGAGGAAGAGCTATAAAAAAGTATCAGTCACTTTTATTCTCTGATATATCATCTCTGGACCTTTTCTTATCAGGTTTGGAAATACCATGGCCATGATTAAACATTACAGATTACTTAAGCAATGTCATGATGAAAGGACAAGTATCTTCATCTGTCAGTAAGGAAGCAAGAAAACGGAAAAGGTACTAATCTATTCACCTTAATTGAAAAAAAAAGAAAAAAAAAAAAGTTTGGCTCTTGTTAAGATTAGAGAACTCAGTAGTATCTTTCCAGTAACAGTACTGGAAAGATAAATATAATTGAGAAATGTGGCCCCTTTGGAAACAAAATTAATTATCCAAAGATTGAAAAGGAAATGTTTCTAATGGAAGTAAAGCCTAAATATTCCTGACAACAGTAGCAAAACAGTCCAACAGTAGCAAAATTCCTCACCAAAGAGGCAGGGAAAGCAGCAAAAGAGCGTACTACCTTTGACTCTAGTCAAAGAGTCAAAGGAGTGTTACTTCAGGAATACCAAGGAAAATAACCTTGGATGAGTGACCAAGAAGTAATTAAACATAACTAAACCAAAGGAGAAACAAAAATCTTTAACTAGAATCACTATTTGTAAAGGACAAACGTTGGTGATTAAGATGGTAAGCAAAGGAAAGAAATCAGCCTACATATAGGATCTGAGGACTTTAACATGGAAGAGGTTCTCGACTGTTTGAAGTCAAAGGGTTGAAAATATTTAACTCAGGTCAAAGGGAGAAGAATGGGAGTGAATGCACAGGAAAAGGCTTCAGACCTAACTGGTTACATAACCAGCTCAAGCAATATATTATGAATAGACAGAATGTCAACAAGGGATAGAAACAAAGACTGATCAATACAAACCCAATGTCTTAGAAGTCAGAAAATATAATGTAATGTGATGTACAGTAATGTAACGTGTTGCTAAAATCAGTTTGAATTAGCTTCTATGAAGATATTAAAACATAGAGCAAAAATTTTGGCTAACATCTTCAAAAAGAAAACAAGGAAAGATTCAAGGCCTCTATACACTTAAGCAAGAATAACAATTGAAAATAACAGAAAGATGATGATTTTGGCTACAACAGCAAAGGCATTACATCTTGCTAGATCACTACAGGAAAATGCAAACACAGTCCTGGGATGTACCAGGAAAGGCCCATAAAGACAAAGAAGCTAGTGCATTTTGTAAAGTCCCAGTCATATTCAGGGTGAAGTCACACTTGATAGATCTACGGAAGGTCTGAAAGAGGGGTAAGAGGGAAGAACGTTTCTTAAGACATTTATGACATTTACAGTATCTTTAAAAACAGCTTATCTGATCTAGTAAAGCACAGGCTGATGCGTGCTTTTCTTTTTCTACAAATGCATCAAGCAAACCCTATGGAAACAATTGCTTAAGTTGAATTCCGATGTTGCCATAAGAGTAGGTGGATATAAAATCTTCTGACACATCTAGGCATGGAAATAGGTTTCTAATTATCAGAGCACTGAGGTTTCGTAACAGCCTTTCAGTAGAAATACTGAGGGCAAGAAAGCTGACTTTTAGGAAGGCATCTGCTCAGTTTAAGACGGAAACTGCAATGATGCAGTTGCCTCCTGGGTTTCTTAGGTGAGGAGATTTCTTGGAGATCTCGCAGAGCTGTGTCCTTGCGGGCATCCTGGGAGCTCCATCTCCTCACACGGTCACTTTTCCCCTCCAGACCTCGAGCTGCACCAAAAACGGCCGTGTTTGAGAAGTTTGCGAAGGAGACCTCGGCGGGCTGATAGGCAGCTAGGAAGTTACAGGTTAAGTATCTCCAAGATGAGCAGCGCTGAATTCCAAATGGGATACATTTGGGCCATACCGCTTACTTAGTGTAAACAAATGCTTATGATTCCGGTCAAGATCAACTTTTCATTTCTATAAAGCCTATTTTAATAACCTGCCAAGGCACCATTAAAATGGGAATATTAACTTTCCAACAATTTCTAAAGATCGAAATAGAATCCGTCTTGGCAAAAACAGTGAAGTCATCTACCAAGAAAAACATTTTAGGTAGTTATATAAGCAGTAAAAATAAATGTTTTATAAAATTCACCCAGAAGGACTTGTAAGTATTTAAAAATAATAATAATAATAATTAACCAGATTTCATAAGGTGTAAAATAGCCAAAAATAACAACTAGTACAGCTGAAGATGGTGAAGTCATTTCTCCTACTGCACTCCAAAGCCTGACCACCTGTAGAGATTTAAAAAATATAACCAAAGAATTAATTGTCCCAATCTGGACAGAGTGCAAAATTCTGTCTCTTACACGATTTCATGTTGCCAAAGTAATTGGAATTTTATACAAACTTAGTATGTTTTACAAGTATTTGTTCCTCTGGCACAGAAGGATACCACTAGGAAGAGAGATGAAATAAAGGAATATCTACTGCATTTTCCTTTGCATTAGAAAACTGATGCACGGTCTCGTTCCAGTTTGGCTCCTACTCTCTTTTGTCCTGTAGGACAACCTCTCCTTCTGCATTGACCAACAAGAGAATTTGGAAGTGTAGATAAATTCTTACTACCTTCATCATGACATAGACATGATAAATATACTCTGTATTTGGCAAGGTGGATTTAGTAAAGAATTACTCATATTAGAACAGATTTGTGAACAGACTCATTTGTTGCTTATTGAACCTATTAGTTTGCATGCACTTCTGATATATGAATTGTGATTCTCCAAAACACCTGCTGGCTACTTGAAAAGGCATTTGCTTTTACACAGAGGATCAGGGTGCTGATTTTACTTGGAAGCACTGAAGGTGGCCTGCAGCTAAAGGCAGACGTAAGGAGGGTATGCTAACACTGAGATCTCAGCTGGGTCTTCCAGATCTGTGGTGGGTGAGCTGGTGTTACACACTTGGATTAGATAGAGCACATCTCCAGTCTGCATTATGAAAGGAATTTTCATTTGTATAAAACACTCAGAGATTATTCAGATTTTTGTTTCTTTGTTTTTCTATCTATAGTGTGGGAAGCTTAGTCCTTTCTCTGCAAATACCTGAGAATTTCCACGAACAAATTTCTGCTTACTTTAAGGACTGAGTACTTTGATGACACTCTTTTTTTCTTACGTGGGTAGGTGGTATAATGATCTTTGAACTTGCAGGACTAAGTGCCTGTATTGCTATGCAAAGCTGCCCTACGATACAGAAATATGTAGACTTGGCTTCTGAATGAGCTGAATTTACGAACTATGAGTTGCTTAAAAAAATCACAAACCTTTCTTTCACAGGACTGGATAACATCCTTTATTTTACAGAGGTTACTGTTTATCTATTAAAAATGCTTAGAGGAAATCAACACTAGTTCATAATTTTCAGGGCCCAGGGCCCACATAGAGGTAGACAGTTGCCTTTTAAAAATGAGAAGGATTACTCATCTTCCCCCAGTTCCAGAGCCAAAAATGGAGGCAGACAAACAAGTGACAGAGTCCTCAACTCAAGGCCTTAAACCAACAAATACTAACTTAATGGATTAATCATGTACCTTTTCACAAAAGCTGATGTGCTTTGAAATGATTGTTAAAATGATGTTTTAAGATCATGGCCTATTCATTAGCTTCACCTTTTCCCTTCTTCACTCCACATACTTGTTGCATTCTCAGATTTGGGGCATTCAGTGATTTAGTAACTAAACGCACGCCCACACACCCACATCCTGGGAACTAGAACATCCCTCCTCCCCCCTTTCTCTTTGTCCTTTGGATCAGAATTTGTTTGTTCATTTGTCCTTTGCTACGTAAAGCAAAATACCAATCTGTTCTTCGCCTGGGAATTTCCCTTCATTCCTCAGTTTCGTGAACTTTTTATTTTCCTTCAAATATTGCAGCCACCTAGTTGGACCTAAGGTTCTTGTCAGCTGTCACTGGCAAAGAATTACAAGAGAGAAACATTTTCTTTTGTAACTGAAAAAACACTTTATTAACAAATTAAGAGAAACTGCATTGATGCAAATCTTCCCCCTGCATGCTTCACTCTAGAATTCCTGTGCCTCTTCAGTAACTCTGGAATTTGATCATGCAAAAATAATATGCAATAGTTAACTAGTTCATATTCTTTTCACATTAACTTTTAGGGGTGACTAGGCCAAATACAGCTGGAATAGCTTGACTCCTCAGGAAAAGCCAATGCAAATGCACCAAACCAAAGCATGAAAACTCCACACAAGTATTTACTGAAAGCAGCTACATGGGGGGCACACACACTCCACAAAAACCATTGCCCCCCCAGACTCCTCTCAGTGAGGGAACCACCAGCTTCTTCTTTGCCTGAACTTTCAGCATCTTCGGAGCGACTGAGGGAGCTGGGGCTACTAGTCTGGAAGAGACTCCGGAGAAACCTTATCACTCCCTACAACTACCTGAAAGAAGGCTGTAGTGAGGTGGAGGTCGGTCTCTTCTCCAGAGTAACTACTGACAGGACAAGAGAAAAGTGGCCTCAAGTTGTGCCAGGGGAGCTTCAGCTTGCATATTAGGAACAACTTCTACACAGAAATAGTGGGGAAGCATTGGAAAAGGCTGCCAAGAGAAGTGGTGGAGGCACTGGCGGTCCCTGGCAGTGCTCAAGAAACGCATATATGAGGCACTTGGCAACACCGCTTAGCAGGCACCATGGTGATGGGTTAACGGTTGGACAAGATGATGTTAAAGGTCTCTTCCAAACACAAGGATTCCACGACTCCCTACCTCAAGCCAGACCACCCACCACCGCCACCTCGGCCAGGGACCGTTACCAACGGCCTTGGGCTAAGCGGAACGCGAGAGGCGCGGGGCGCCGCGGGCGG